CTATCCGCCAAATTTGTGCATGAAGGCTGAAAATTGTTTGATGTCGTTACTTATTCCTGGACCAAAGTCACCCGGAAATGAAATTGATGTGTATTTGCAGCCACTAATTGAGGAGCTTAAGATATTATGGGAAGTCGGTGTAGAAACATACGATATTTCAAAAAATCAATCATTTCAAATGCGTGCAGCTCTTATGTGGACTGTGAATGACTTCCCTGCATATGCTATGTTATCCAGTTGGAGTACTAAAGGGAAGTTTCCTTGTCCTGCTTGTAATCATAAAACTTCTTCAAGATACTTAAAACATAGTCGAAAGATGTGTTATATGGGTCATCGAGTCTTTTTGGATTCAAATCATAGTTGGAGATCAAATTCTAGTTCTTTTGATGGAAAGCCAGAATATAGGTCTGCACCCTCCTTGTTAGATTCAACAATGATTTTAAAAGACTTAGAAAAGATTCTTGACGTAGTGGGGCAAAAATATCATAAAAAAAGGCCTGGTCCATGGAAGAAAAAGTCTATCTTTTGGCAATTACCATATTGGAAGGATAATTCTTTGCGCCGTAATTTAGATGTTATGCATATAGAAAAGAACATTTGTGATAATATAATGGGGACTCTCTTAGATATTGAAGGGAAGAAAAAGGATCATGCAAAAGCTCGTTTGGACCTACAACACATGGGGATTAGAAAAAAACTCCATTTGAAGGAAACAAGTGATGGTAAGAAAACTCAAATCCCTAAGGCATGTTTCTCCCTAACAAAGCAAGAGAAAACTATTTTTTGTAATGTTTTAAAGACAGTAAAACTACCTGATGGCCTTGCATCCAATATTTCTCGATGTGTTCAAGTTAATGAAGGAAAAGTTTCTGGATACAAGAGTCATGATGCTCATATTATATTGCATTACTTGTTGCAAGTAGCAATAAGAGGGATAGGCCCTAATCAAATTGTTATCCCTTTGCTTCGAATTTGTTCATTTTTTCGGTGTTTATGCCAGAAGGTTATAGATGTGAAAACATTGGATTACTTGGAAGTAGAAATTGCTGAAACACTTTGCCAATTCGAGCGTATCTTCCCTCCGAGTTTCTTTGACATAATGGTTCACTTACCAATTCACCTGGGAAATGAAGTCATATTGGGTGGACCGGTTCAATTTCGATGGATGTATTATATGGAAAGATATTTGGGTGATTTAAAATCTTTTGTTCGTAATAGGAGTCGTCCAGAGGGTTCTATCGCTGAAGCATACTTAGTTAAAGAATCTCTAACATTTTGTTCAAGATATTTGTCTAGTGCTGTAGACACAAGGATGAATATAATGACACGAAATAGCGATGATACTCCAAACATAGGTCATCCAATAGGGGGAAAGAAACTAATTTCCCTTGATCATAAGTCTCTAAACCAAGCTCATGGCTACATTTTATTCAATTGCGGTGAAGTGCAAGAGTATATTAGGTACACTCATCTACTTGATACAAAATTTCATTCTCACTATAAGTTTTCTTTTTCTTTTGTATTAAAATATTAGTTATTTATTTTGTAGAGAGCATGAGGTTAATGATCATAATCCTCTAAAAAAAAAGGAAGTCCAGAAAAGCTAACAATCAAAGAGAAGATTTTATTCAATGGTTTGAAACACGTCTCATGGATGAGAAAGTTACTGAATGGTTGAAGGTGTTGTCTAGGGGACCAAATGATGTTGTTAGAAGGTATTCTGGTTATGTTATTAATGGATACAGGTTTCATACAACAAATCATGAAGCAAGGCTTAAAACACAAAATAGTGGTGTGACATTAGAAGCGGTGACTCAAGTTCTTAGAAATGCGAAGGATGAAAATCCCAAAAAGATTTGTGTGACTTACTATGGGGAAATAAAAGATATTATAGAGTTAGATTATTATGGTCATGAAAAATATGTATTGTTCAAATGTGATTGGTTTGTGGATGAAAAGGATAAATATGGATCGCCGTTGGTTTACTTTAACAAAAAATGATACAAAAATGATCCATTTGTGTTGGCATCTCAAGTTCAACAATGCTTCTTTATTGAAGATCCTTTAAACAAAAACAAACACTATGTTCTAAATGCACTTCCAAGGGAATCATTTGTCATGGGAGAATATTTAAGTACAGATGCCCAATAATATGATATTTCAACAAATCTTAATACATTAAGGGGTGATTGTGAAGTGGATTTGGTTAGGAAAGATTTGCCGGATGATATCTTTGAATTTCCTTTGTCAGAACTTCACAACCAAAAAGCAATAGAGAGTGATCATAATGACACGAGTTATGGAAGTGACGATGAAACCGATTATGATTCTAGTACTGATTAGGTAGCATTGACAATGTGTTTTACCAATTTTTTTAATAGATTTTAAGTAGAAAATAGATTTGTTCAAAGTTTAATTTATGGTTAAGCATGCTGTCATTTTTTTACTTAAACCATAACAAACTAGATTCAAATATACTGTTAATTTATGGTTATGCATAATGTCACTTAAACTCAATTTTTCATTATATAATTATGTAATTTTCCCCCTTTGTAGATCATAGTTGTTGGCCATAATGGACAATGTAAGAAGTGTAAAAGATGGTGGATCACATAGGAAGAGTGGTCGAAGTCCTACTAAAAGATTTGATTTTCCTTTTCAAGTAAGATCAAGTGCAGAATTGAGAAATAAAGTGCTACAACATGTTAAGAAAGAAAAAATTGACAAGTTACATGATATGCTACAAGGAAACAATAGAGAAAGGGTTCAGGAAATTATAGAAGTTGTGGACGGTAAATCATTTTCTTGTTTCATTTGATTTTATATAAAATGATGTATGTTAAAGTTATGTTTTGGAATTCCTTTAGATATATTATTCCTACTGTTTTTTAATGAATTTTTACAAAAATTAGAAACACCAAAAAAAGGAACTCAACAAGAAAGAGTTCAAAAGGTTGATCACAATTTGGACAAAGAGACTATTGCAAAGAAAATGGAGATAGACAAACTCTCGCAACCAAAAGTAATGAAAGATCATGCACATGGTGACAAAGAAGTTGTACAAGGTAAGTGATTTTTAAATTTTTCTATTATGCATATATTACATGAAATTATTCCTAATATCTTTTGGTGAATTTTTACTAAAATTAGAAACACCAAAGAAAAGAACTCAAGTGAAAGCTACAGTGAATAGAGAAAGAATTCAAAAGGTTGATGGAAAATTGGACAACCACATTGCTATGAAGAAAGAAGATAGACCTAAGCTTTTGCAACCACAAGCTAAGGAAGTTTTTGCACATGGAAACAAAGAAGTTTCACAAGGTAGTTAATATCCTTGCATTTACTTTAAATTTATATATTTCTTTTCATGACATTATTATGACGAGAAAATTACATTGAAACCAGGAATGATGAAAAAAAGAATTCATGAGAATCTACTAGAGAACAATAGATATAAAATTCAAAAGGTGGAAAAACCAGTTGCAAGGAGAATACTTATTTCTTCCAAAAATAAGAAACCAGAGAAATCTACTCTATCTTTGGACACAATGATGTCAAAAGTTGAATGCTCTAAAAAGCTAAACAGGGTGCCAAAATGCCCATCAATGTTGATTGATGATTATGTAGATCTTCACAAGTCAAAGGAAATGGATGCAACCAAGTCAAACAATGGAGAAAAACTGGGCAGCAGCGTTAACCGTAGCTCTAATCAAAATCAGCCAAAAAAAGGAACTTGACAAGAAAGTGTTCAAAATCGGGCAAAAGTCAACGAAGAAGATGCAATCACAAATAGAGAAGAAGAAAAAGGTAATTAGTTTCATATTTCATAATAATGATTTCATGTATTATTTACATATTGGTAGCAAACATGTGATATCATGTTGTTGTGTTGATTACTTTATAGAAACATCCCAAAGAAAAACTCGTGGGAAAACTTTGTGCAAAAAGATTCATGCAAGAACTTTGGAAGAGCGAGTAGAACTGACCTTTAATGAGGATTTTCAGCCAATTGGTCCTAGTGAAAAAGTAGTATCTGACTTGTGCCTCTTCTTGGGAACATTGGCTAGGAACTCAACATTTTGTCCTCTACGTTACACCAATTGGTCAGGAATGCCAGATGATAATAAAAACCGTTTCTAGAGATATACTAATGTATGTTTTTATCTATGAATTTGAAAGTATAATTATTAAAAAAAAGTGTTTTATTTCTTGATCTTGTCTTATCTTATAATTTATGTAGCGGAAGTTTATCTTGCCGGTTGAAGCACGAGATTGGATTGAGACCACTTTTAGAGAGGCATGGAGGAGATATAAGCACAAAATTAAGAAGAATCATTTTTTGAAGTATTCCAACATGACCGAGAGACTCAAAAATCGTCCGCCAAACGTGCCAATAGCCCAGTTTAAGAGTCTTTGTGCTTATTGGAGTAAGGAAACTATACAAGTAAGATTAATAATTTTTTTATGTATGTGTGTGAATTTACATCTTTCTATGTATGCCATAATTAAGTAATATTTATATAATAATTCCGTCAAATTTAAATGTAGGCAATCAGTGAAAATAACACTAGAAATAGAGCTCAACTAAAGTGGATGCATCGAATGGGTCCCAAAAACTTTGCTTTGACTCGTGAAAAAGTGGTAACTTTCTTTTGTTCTCAATAAAGTATTCCTTGTATGAATGTTTCTTTCTTCAATTAAAGTATTCGTGAAAAACTTTTCTTTGACTCGTGAATAGGAATTTTAATTCACATGATTTGTTATGGAATTATTTTGATTTGTGCAGCGTGAAAAGGAAAAAAGAGAGCCCACTCAATCAGAAATGTTTGTTGAAACTCGAAAAGGAAATAAAGGAAAGGAACTGGATGTAGAAACTGGAAAAGTATTTGTATGTAATATTGTTTATATAATACGTTTGCTTAATATAATCGGCCAACATTGTCTATAATAGTAGTTAATATTTTTTTTGTTGTAATTTATGCTAGTCTCAACTTCAAGAAATGGTTGAAAAGGAGGAAAGTGATTCAGAAGCTTTTAAAGTTGTTTTTGGAAAGGAGTGTTCAGGCAGGGTACGCTGTTATGGGAGAAACATAACTAAAACTTCCTTAAAGAGAAAAGCAGAGATTAATGCTTTGAAACAAGCCCACAGTGAAGAGGTCTTTACATTAAGGGACGAGTTTCAAGATAAGATTGATAGATTGCAAAATGCTTTTAAGACCGTAATACAACAATGCAATCCTCAAATTAATATAGAGTCAATTGAAGATTTGTTAGGATTATCTCATGGAGATGCTAATAGTTCCCCAAAGGATATAAGACCGCAAATGCATTCATCTACATCAACTCATGCTCTATGTCATAGAAAGGTAACCATATATACCAATATTATTGATTTGTATTTTTCTAATTATGTTATAGTATCAAAATGGTTGTTAATGTATGCAAAAATTTGCAAGTAGTGACAACACCTAGAATGAAGTAAGTGGTTGAAATTGTTTAAGTAGTGACAACACCTAGAAGTGGCTCAAACTGTTTAAGATTTGTTATATGCAAAAGAGAAAAATCTAAATTTTCAACTTTAGACATATAGACTTAAAGTAAAATATTGAGTATTTTTTATGAATATTCCTGGTATGAGAAGATAATTAAAGTAATATAAAGCCCACACATGACATGAGATGTGAAGAATATAAACAATGTGTTTTGCTCATTGGCTTAGTTTTTATTTGTGCGAGGTTTAATTCTTGTTGATGTCTTAATTGTCCTTTGGACCAAAAATATTTATGGTTGATGTGTTTTATTTTATTTTCTTATGCAACAATGTATTAATGAAGATGTTGAAAAGGACGATATAAATGATGAAATTCAAGAGGACGACATAAATGATAAAATTCAAGAGGACGACCTAAATTATAAAATTCAAGAGGACGACGTAGATGACGAATTTCAAGAGGACGACATAGATCTAGATGGTGAATTTCAAGAGGACGATATAGATGGTGAATTTCAAGAGGACAACGTAGATGAAGAATTTATGGAGGATGACATATTTAACGAATTTCAAGAGGATGATCTGGATGATTTACTCCTAGAAGACAAACTTGAGTGAGTTGGATGATTTACTCCTAGAAGACAAACTTGAGTGAGTTGGATGATGTCTTTTTTTTTTTACTTGTAGTTGAAAGCATTATATGATTTTTGTTCTTTTGTTGAACTATGTTTTTAGTTATTTTACTAAGGTCATACTTCAAAGTATTAAAAGTAATGTTACGTTAGGCATTTTGTGTACTCTATATACTATATCTTGAATTAAAGTTTGAACTCGATTTTATTATATTACAACTTTTATGGATGTATGGTTTAAGTTATATAATCAATATTATTTTTGAAGTCAATTATTATTGACTATATTATTTTGATAATAATTGAAAAATTATATATTTTATGTGGACACTATAAAACAACAACCTATAAGCTATGGCTACACTTCAAAAACGATCTTCCTGATTCAGGTTTAAGGCAACGGTTGTTAATTGTAGCCGAATTTGGCAACGCTTAAAAAACGTCGTCTCAGAGGCCGCAAATAATCGTCCCCTATTCCTTTTCTATAGGCGATATTTTTCAAAAGCGTTCCCAAAAAACATTAAAAAAACGTCGCCTCAAACAATAGGCAACGCTCGCACAGGAGACGCCTAGAAAACGTCCCCTATTTATTTAGGCAACGATTTTCAGAGGTCTGACAACGCTTTTCAATTGTTGTTGGAGAGACTAAATGTTGTAGTGACTTATTTGATGTGAAGCATGTATAGAAGAATGTATTTAATATTGCACGAAAAACAGACGACAATGAAAATGAAGAAAATATTTAACTCTTATTTGCTGATGTGAATATTTAAAGATGCGTCCTCTATCTAATAGAAAAAGTTTATTTTACATCCGAAAAGGCAAAGTTCATCTAAAAATGGATTGAGGAAATCATAATGCTTGACGTCTTTGCTTCTAAGTAATAAGATTTTCTACTTATAACACGGAAAATCTAAAATCAATGCACATACAGGCAAGGAAGAGAGTATCTTATGTGTAACCATATTGTTACTAACGATACATGTTATTAGATAAGTTGTTTGTTGATAACTTTGAACGAAGTATCTCATCGTGTTCTTGTAGGCTTACTCCAACCAATATTATTGCTGCAGCGATTAGACATACTATAGAAAAGAAATTTCAGGGAACTTATAGTGGTTATAGTGATATTGAGGATAAATAATAAGAAGTTTGGTTTGAAGTTTTATTTTCTTTTATTTATAGAAATTAGATATTTGGCCCGTGTGATGCATAGGATTGATTTGAAGTTTTACCTCAAATATTATTTTAAATAAAAATTTTAATAAAAATTAAAGAAAATAATTAAAAGCTGAAAATATAAATTATAAATAAATATTTAAATCACAAAGGTCAAAACATTTCTTGAAAAATCTTTGTGAATAGAATATGGTACTGTGTTCCACTAGATAAGATTTTGTAGGATATGTCTCTGATTTGTCAATTTGCTAACACATCTATTTCATTCATCGTATGCATATGAATAAAATATATAATTGTTATTATTGATGCTGACAATATCTTACTTTCGCTCCGTCAACAAAAACATATAAAGTGTTTTTTACATTAAAATATAATAATTGATATGAAATTTAATAATAAGATAAACAAATCTGCAAATAGTTATAAGAAATGAATCTCTTACTAATTAAAATTGTTATCGATAGCAAACAAAGTGAAAAGTCCTAGAAAATAACGAATAGGTGAAATGGGTAGAAAAATATTAAATAAATAATGAAGGTGGATTTAAGGATATTTATAAAGATGTATAAGAATATAAAAAAATATAATTATTTTCATATACCATTATTAATATTATTATTATGACCTATAATTTTTATGAGTTTATTATTCTATCAATTAATAGGAAATAATAACCGTTAAACATAAATAAAATATTAACTAAAATTTAATTTTTATGACAAATTTAAGGATGAATTAAATGAAAAAAACTGAAAAACTAAAAAGTGGTTGGTGGTTATAGAATAGAAAACAGATAGTTATAGATTTATAAGCATTTTCACCAAAATATATTATCATTAAAATTAGAGTAATACTAAAGTTTGAAATAAAACTAAAATATTTGAATATTAATATTTTTTAGAGTTATGTATTTTATATTTTAATATGTTGTATTTATTTTAAAGATATGTAAATTATTTATAAAAAATATATTATTTAATTGGTCTATGTAGTCTTTATAATTATTAATAAATAAATTTCATTAAATATTTTTTAAAAATAAAATTAAAATATAAAAATATTAGTAGTTTACTTTAATATGTTGTCTTTATAATAAAACTATGTAAATATATTATGTATTTTATAAAGGATTATCTAATTTTTATTTATTTTTCCTTAATAAAACGAGGGAGAAAATAAGACAAAAAAGCAATGTCAAAAACTATTATACTTTTATATTATATTAAAATATTTTAGTTTATAAAATATTAAAAAGATTTATTTACTGAGTCTGTATTTAAATTTAATTATGAATTATATTATATATTATTTATATAAAATATATTATTTAATTGATTTACGTAGTGTTTGTGATTCTAAATAAGTAAACGCCACTGAATATTTTTTATGGAAAAATATAATATATTATATATAACATAACTGAGAATAACATGAGATTCTAATTATTATAAATTATTTATATACATGATATTATTTATACATATTAAATTATTATTATAAATGAATATTATAATTAAAAAATAATTATTGAAAATCAAAAGATAGATATTAAAAATATGTAAAAATATTAAAATAATTATGTAAAAATAATTATTATAAATTTTATTGTAAAGAATATTAAAATTTTATAAAAATTAAAAATTAGTATTAGCGTAAATTTATATTTTGAAATCAAACAATAAAGGTATTAATTAAATTATTAAAAGAAAGACAAAATGAAACTGATTTTAAAATAAATATTAAGAATCATAGTTAATTGTTGTTAAAAATCTTAAATACATATTAAATTATAATAACTGAAACAATTGAAAAACTTAATTCATCATTTCTATAACATATTATTCTAGAAATATATATATATATATATATATATATATATATATATATATATATATATATATATATATATATATATATATATATATATATATATATATATATATATATATATATATATCATAAAACTTGAAATATAGGATAGATTTTTAATATTATTATTATCATTATTATTATTATTAATTATTAATACATGGTTAGACAAGAATTACTATAAAGATGACACAACACCATATAATTACTATAAAGATGATACATCACTATATAGTTAAGTTTTTTTTCTAGGGTTATCATCATGACAACCTTAGATTTAGATTAAGTAGATAATATGTAGATCATCTGAATCAAATGATAAAATCTGATGGTGATGCCACTATGACTCAAGAACTTGGTGGATCATAGAGACTATGTTCTTAGGGTTAAGTTTTGGGGAAGGTGTTATAAAACTGGACCATACTATGTTTGTTTTGATAGATAAGTATGGTTGTAGATATACTATGTTTATTTTGTGGGATAATTACTGTATAAACATTATATTTTGTGTCATGTTTATAGGATAATAATAAAATGTGAATTTATTAATTCGAAGTGCATTATTTTGTTTAGTAAGTATTGAAAAATAGGTTGAGAAAAACATATTTTAAAACATTCTAAAAACAAATTTAATAAATTGTAGAGTGAGCTAAAGTTGATGTTAAAAATGAAAATTCCTTTAAACATAGTTTTAGCCATAATCAGAAGTTACATTTTAGCTTAGGCCAAAATCGATGCTAAAAATATGAATGCCTTTAAACATAACAGTAACCATCACGAGATGTTATATTTTCGTTTTGGCTACAACCAACGCTAAAAATGCACTTACATTTAAAAGTGGCGGCCACTTGTATGAAACATTTAGAATTAGTGTCATCCTAAATAAAAATTATTGTTAAGATTTCAATCTCTCATGTCGAAGTAGCATGTTACTCGACATAAATAATACTGTGTTAAAATAGTCTAAAGTGTGTCTCGAGTTGCATTAGATATCAAAGTGTCGAAGAAGGTTGCTTCACACAAGATTTCGACTTAGACTAAAATATGTATTTTGTGTTTTTGTGATTTGAGCTTTGGCTTAGGAAGAAAGCTAACTTAAAACTATAAATAGAGAGAGTATCCCTTGTTTTGTAACATAGAGTATTCACAGAATTTGCAGTTGCAAGTGAATAAGATTTTCCATAATTTGTGAGCAGAGAGAAACTCTGCAGAAATCATCATCTTGTCCTATATTTTGTCAAACCCTAATTTTCTTTCTTCCTCAATTTTCTTTCTTTTCATTGTTATTGTGCATTAATAACAATCTTTGGTGGATTTCCAACATCTGGTGTCTAGAGCTCCGATTGAGTGATTCAAGGAAAGAAAATCATGATGCCAATTACTACAACATTTGTTGTCTCTGGCAACACTTTTTTAGGTAACATGTAGAAATTGTTGCCTTAAATTCATATAGGCAACGATTTACGATTGTTGTCAAAAATATGTTTGCAACCCTTAATAATCGTCGCCTAAAATACTTTTGGGGACGTTTATGGAGCGATACTCTTTTATTTTTTTGCCAACGGTTGTTAATTGTGCCCTTAACTGCTTTTGGGGACGATTTTATAGCGTTAAAATATTATTTCTTTAGCAATGTTTGACAATTGTCCCCTAAAATATTTTTGGGGACATTTTTAGATTGTTACATTAGTTCTAATAAAAGGCTACATTTCTGAAATATTGTATAAATTTTTTTAGAATTATCAAATTTTTGGTGGCAATCTTCCCTCCAAAACTTATACACTAAAAAACAAATATTTTTCTCTAAACATTATTAATATATATAAAAAAAAATATTTTTCTAACACAGGAATTTAAAAATAAAAAATTTCAATTAAACAAAAAATAAAAAATTATATATATATATATATATATATATATATATATATATATATATATATATATATATATATATATATATATATATATATATATATATATATATATATATATATATATATATATATATATATATATATATATATATATATATATATATATATATATATATTTCAATTAAACACGAATTTTTCTAACACATTATTAATATTTCTCTAAAACTTATATATATATATATATTAAAAAAAATTTCATTAAACAGAAAATAAAAAATTTTCTAACACAGGAATTTAAAATATTTTTCATTACTAGTCCTCTCAATTATTGCCACGTCTTATTAAAAAGACTAGAAAATAAAAAAATAGAAAAAGAAAAAGATAAGGAAAACAAAAGCAGCAGCTTTCGATTCTCCTTCTTTTTCGTTCACACATTTCGCCGAACCTAGCCGCGCTCTCAGACGCTCCGTCCTTCATCTGCTCCGAGTCAAACCTCTTTCGTTCACACCCTCCGCCGTGTTCTTCGTCACTCCGTCCAACTGCCACGCCGTGTTCGTCGTCCACGTCGTCGTTCGTTCGTCGTTCGCCGTCCAACTGCTTTCGTCCACGTCGTCCGCTGTCTACGTCGTCTGCCGTCCACGTCGTCCAAGTCAATTTACTCAAACTTGTTTCCTTTAGTCAAATCAATGGCTTCTGGTCTTCACAAAATGGGTGTTTCACAGGGTGATGTTGTTTTGCTTTTACTTCCCAACTCAATTTACTATCCCATTATACAATTAGGTGTTATGTATCTAGGTGCTGTTGTTACACCATTGAATCCTGTCAGTAGTGTTGTTGAAATTCGTAAGCAGGTTAATGAGTGTGGTGTGAGTTTTGCTTTTACTATACCCGAAAATTTTAAGAAACTAGAGCCATTCAACATTCCAAATATTATTGTGCCAGAAAATGAAAAGGATTTGAAGTATGATTGTTTCTCTTGTTTCTTTAACCTTATTTATCATAACTTTGATTTTCCTCAAAGACACTGCTGGTATATTGTATTCTTCTGGTACTACAGGTGTTAGCAAAGGAGTTGTTTTAACTCATAGAAATTTAATTGCTATGGTTGAACTATTTGCGAGGTTTCAAGCTTCTTCTTCTTCTTCCAAAAATGTGTTTCTAGCTGCTTTGCCAATGTTTCATATATTTGGTTTATCGCTCACTACTACCGGATTACTGTCGTTGGGTTCTACGGTTGTTGTAATGAAAAATTTTCAAATTGACGAGGCTATTAGGGTGATTGATGAATACAATGTTACACACTTTGATGTTGTTCCACCCATGTTAGTGACATTGACAGAAAAGGCGAAGCGGGTTAATGGAAGTAAGTTGTTGAGTTTGAGACGTGTTTTATGCGGCGCCGCGCCTTTAACCACAACAATTATAAATGAATTTGTCCAAGTTTTCCCTAATGTTGATTTAATACAGGTAAAGTACATTAGAATAAACTAGTCTTATTCTCTTTATTGTAAGGATGTGCAACCTTAAAATTGTTTTCTTTTAGGCTTATGGAATGACTGAGTCTGCTGCAGTAGGAAGTTGCTGCTTCGATAGTGACAAGTTTCACAACTATTCTTCAGTAGGATTGTTAGCTCCAAACATGGAGGCAAAAGTGGTAGACGTGAACAATGGTGCACTTTTGCCCCCAGGAAGAAGTGGCGGGCTTTGGTTGCGAGGGCCTTCGATTACGAAAGGTGATAAATCTTCATTTTTTTTGTAAATATATACAAACAAAGATATTAAAAAGGACATCATGCTAATATAAATGCTTTGTCTATAGAAATCAATCCTAACCTATATTTGCATGAGATGGATTCAATGTCTTCAGCTGTTTTGTTGCTAAAATTGTACCTTTTCTGCATGTCTTGTTTGTATTCCAATTGAAACTAGTAACCATACTTTATTTCTTTTATTTCTTAGGATATTTAAATAACGAAGAAGCTACGATGACATCAATTGATAAAGATGGTTGGCTTAATACCGGAGATATTGTTTATTTTGATGAGAATGGATATTTGTATTTATGTGACCGTTTGAAAGACATGATCAAATACAAGGGCTTTCAGGTATCAAAATTTTTGGTTTATTAAAATTTTATATTACAGTTTATTGTTTCTCAACTTGTATTGTATTGTATGCATGTTGTTGTGTATGACACACACATGTTTCTGTTACAGATTGCTCCTGCTGATTTAGAAGCTGTGTTAATTTTGCATCCTGAAATACTTGTATTCTTTCATTTCGGTCTATTGTTTTAACAAAAATTAACAAATTGTGATAGTTCAATTTTTTTAGGATAGTTTTATTGATTAATAGGGTTTGTGTTTTTTTTTTTTCCAGAAGGAAAGGTAGTGAAACTTACACATGAGTCTATTCATGTTGTTGTGCTTGGATTTGCTTCTGCGATTATAACGGAGAAAGATATCAGGGCAGAGTTTGTGTATAAAATGGTGAGCTTCTCCCAGGAATGTTTTGGTGGTTATATATTATTTTACATGCAGATTATAAGGAGCGATTGGCGATGAGTATTCTCAATTATAATTATTGTGTTTCAATGCTAGCAATTGACATTGGGCATAATGGGTTAAATTTCACCAACTGTTCCATTTGTTTCTTGATGTAGAAAAAGTAGGTAGCAACTTCTAAACCATCTTCCACCAATCAAAGGTACACTACACAACTTATGATGCGCTTATATTTAACTTGATGCAGTGGCATTGTGCCGTCATTAGCTGGCGAAAGTCATGTAGCGATTCAACTCCCAGCATACCAAAACATAAAGTGATGCATTGGCAAAAATGGTACAAATGCTAATGCTATTTTATTTATATATTCGTGATCCTTAAAATAAGTATGCAATGTTGTCTATTGTAATGTATGTGTTGCTCATCCAATGAGGATTCAAAACATTTCAGATAACAATGGTTGACATGAGGGTTGTGATGTATGTGGTGCCAAATATTCACAAACTGATTTGTGTTGGATTTAAGATTGAGTGTTGCGATGATGTATCAGATAACCAGAAACTTCACAGTAGGTATGTAAAAACGGGATATGAGTTTCTGCACCTATCATTTTAAAGTAAAAGATGTATACAGAATAAATGGCTTTGTTCATCTTGCAGGAGACGCGTCTCTAATATTCTCGGAAGTAGTTTCTGTGAGAGTCTTGACCAATTGATACAATCTTATGTATAAGGCAAGGTCATGCTAACATGGAGTGGGATATGGAAGAAGAAACCTCTTCTGCTGCTTTAGTAGAACAGAACCTCGAGCATCAGAGGGGAGATCAGATTGTTGATCAAGAGACTACTATTAATAGTTCACCTGACTTGCCTCTTTGCATACACCTCCTACTCTTCCTCTTTGAGATCAGCATCCTCATGATGATAACTGGCCACAGAATGATGTAAATAATCCAGGTCTTGTAACTATGCGTTTGTGTTCTTTGGTGATTTTTTATAATAACATTCTAATAAATGTAAAAAGAGTGTCTTATCTAGTATTGACATCAAATGATTTTTATTAGTTAATTAAGATCATAAATATATTTATATGCCAGATGATTTTATGGTACAACTATTCTAGGTAAATAAATAATTGCAAGTTATGGGGTATAAGTGTTCTGTAGCGGTGATATGTGGTTTTTGTTTTTGTAGAAACACGGGCAAGAAGTGTATGCGAGTAACTCTCACAAGCGACATGTGATAAAGGTTGGAACCACGATACAATTTTTGGTCAAGAGGTGACATACTTTTTAAATTGATTAGAATAAGATTAGATTTGTGTTCAATGCATCTTTTTGCCTTACAATTGCATGAATATCTGTCTCTAGTTTGGTTTCTATTTCCCGATCTTCATTCTCTAGACTTGAATTAGTGGTATTGATTGTGTGTTGAATTTTAAATATCCGCGTTAGCTTAGACATCCCCAAGGATATAGTAATCATCCCTCTAGATGGGTTTCATTGTGTATCCTAATTGATTTTTGACACGAAGGAGTACTATGTATATGTACATTTGTATGAGTAGTAACTAAAAATAATATAATTCTGTACCACTGTATCATTGGTTGCACATGAATATATACAAAAAGAATTGGCTACCTAATCAATAAATCTGTAGGGAGTGACAGGAGTTGGACTTCTTCTACTAACATATATAGATCCCTTTCTGTGTCTTTGGATTGATATCTAGTATCTACTATGTAGGTTTGCCTGTTCTTTGTATAAATCTTTGTTCTATTTTGGGTCTTGTCTAGTCTAGAAGCACCCTCAAAGGTGCACACACATATTTTAGGTAATTATTTAATTTTACTTGGATTATCATCAGTATTATTATGTCATTTTATTTCATTTCAGCTTATTTCATTCATATTTTAGTTGTGTATCAGGTCTGAGATTGGCGTCTGTGTCTTATATATGCTTATTCAGTGTTTCGTATTAATGATCAGTTAATGAATTTAGTTTCCTTGATGCTCTAGAAAGCTTGTTATCAAATTGCTGTTTTTCTTTCTTAAGCTTAACATACTTGATTTGTGTTTATTTTTCTTGCCTTAACTATTGTGTAATTATCTAATATTCTATAAATCTAGATTAAGTTTTAATTTATTAAACACCTTTGCATTCAAGAGATATAGGCTAAAATTGTGCTCTATAATGACTTGATAATAACACAGATTGCTGTAACAATGTCTGTTCATCAGTATTCTATTTCAGTGCTGTCAATCGTGGTTCGCAGAAAATACTGGTTTTTAACTGCAATCTCAGTTTTCAGTGCCGTCGTGCTTCTTGTATCAACCCTATAGTTATATATGATAATCATAAGCTTGTAGTAACAATACTATTTTGATTTTGCAGGTAAGGATTTAAAAGACTCACGAGTGCTAACTGATGTCGGTGACGTCCCTATTCAAGAAATTCGAGATTGTGGCGTAGATGATAAAAGATTGATGAGTGTCATTGGCGAATCTGTCAAGTTAGTGATGGAAGAGGTAAATTTGTCAATTTATGATTTTGAATTAAAAAAGTACACCTTTATCATCCTCATATATTGTTTCTTAGCATTCACTCCACTATCATGTGAAATGCTATAACATTTTGCAGATAACTTTCTGTTCGAACTTGCTTGATCCTCGTGTTGTTTATATTCTTTCAGGCTCCTCTAAGACCCTTAGTTTTAGGTGGTGATCACTCAATATCATTTCCAGTTATTAGAGCTGTCTCGGAGAAGCTTGGAGGACCAGTTGATGTTCTTCATATTGATGCGCATCCTGACAACTATGATGCATTTGAAGGGAACATTTATTCGCATGCTTCTTCCTTTGCTCGTGTCATGGAGGGTGACTATGTTCGGCGACTCTTGCAGGTAATCTTTTATTGTTGATAAGTATAAAATCAAGGTGGCGCCGTGATTTTGTTGAAACTACAAACTGTAACCTTTTGCCAAAACAATGCTTTTTAATACATTTCAGGTTGGTATTCGATCAATAACAGCTGAAGGACGTGCACAAGCAAAAGTAAAATATCATAAAGAAACCTCAATTGACTCCACTATTTCATATCTTGGATTCAAAATCAAAGATAAGATCAATCCTCCGAACAACCACCCTCCCTCAACCATCTTCTCTTCTAACCCACCTCCGTCTCATGAGCAACCTCCCAGAAAACACCGTCTATTCAGGCCCAACCCCTCAAACCCAAAGGGTCACACTTTCACAACTCCGACAGAAACATAAAAACTCACAACCCATTACTATGGTCACTGCTTATGATTACCCTTCTGCTGTTCACCTCGATATGGCCGCCATTGATATCTGTCTTGTGGGTGATTCTGCTTCCATGGTTGTTCATGGTCATGATACTACTTTGCCTATTACTTTGGATGAAATGCTTGTTCATTGTCGTGCCGTTGCTCGTGGGGCTAAGACTCCTCTTCTTGTTGGGGATTTGCCTTTTGGAACGTATGAGTGTAGTTCTAAACAGGTATATAATTTTTTTTTTTTGTTTCTTTGTTTTTTAAAGATTGAATTTTTTATCTTTGTTAAGTTTTTGGTTGTTGGGAAAGTGGTGAAAATAGAATTTTTTTTGCTGTAGCAAGGGTTTTGATTTCCCAGTTTCCACCACCCCACACAGGTCCTTTAGGTTGTTAAGCTTGGTATTTTTCAATGACTTGAAATGGGACATGTTTGATTGTTGTTAGTTGGAAATGAAATGTAGAAAGGAATTGATTGGAATTTATAATCTTGGGGTGTATATTTGTTTAACTTTTTTAACTTTCTAACCATACCAAGTGGTTTTTAAGTGTTGTTGTTTTGATTACAAGCAGGCAGTTGATACGGCAGTTCGGATTTTGAAAGAAGGACGAATGGATGCCATAAAATTGGAAGGAGGTTCACCTTCAAGAATTGTTGCAGCAAAAGCTATTGTCGAAGCTGGAATAGCTGTGATTGGGCATGTTGGTCTTACACCACAGGCCATTAGTGTTTTAGGTGGATTTAGGCCTCAGGGAAGAAATGTTGCTAGTGCTGTCAAGGTCGATATTTCTATTCTCTCACGCATGATGCAACTATTTTTGTATTTGAAAACAAAATTTGCTCCGGGAGTGTCTCATATTGAACCGGGAGGTCTTTCTTTCCGCGATGTTCTTAACATCCTACACAATCTTCAAGGTGATGTTGTTGCTGGAGACGTCGTTGAACTCAACCCACAACGCGATACTGTTGATGGAATGACTGCTATGGTAGCTGCTAAGTTGGTCAGAGAAATGGCTGCAAAGATTGCAAAATGATCAAGAGATTTCGGAGCTAACCTCTTTTTGTTATAGTTCCTGAAAATCGGAAAATCTCACTTGTTATAGGTAACTTGTAGCAAAGTTATAAGGTGGTATAAGCATATTACAATGTGCAATAATTCATAAATCTTTTCTCCCAATAATAAGTACTGGTATCTCACGGAAATCTCACGCTTCAATAGCAAAAGCAATGTCTCCTTGCATTATTTTACAAATGGTTTCCCAACTGAATTAATAATACTGAGTTAGTAAATATTTCAAAACAATTGGATTGCTCATTTCAAAACAATGTTGAAAAGTGATAGAAAATAAAATAAAAATACTATAAATAAAAAAATATTAAAGTAAATAATAATTGAAATATAATAGTAAAATAATATTATATTTAAAATTATTTTACTAAATAATAATTTAAATAAAAATATTATTTGAAATTTATAAATCAGATTACGACGGTTAAAGTCAAATTCACGACAGTATATAACCGTCGCAAACAACAACAACAAAAAATAAAGTCAAATTCACGACGGTATATAACCGTCGCAAACAACAACAAAAACAAAAAATAAAGTCAAATTCACGACGGTATATAACCGTCGCTATCTGTTGTGCGTGACAGTTTTTGCAACCGTCGTGAAATAGGCTGGGGACGCACGATTCTGCGACGGTACTTCTACCGTCGTAGATTGTAAATTGCGACGGTTTTAACCGTCGTAATCAGCCAAAATAACCGTCCCAATCTATCATTTTTCTTGTAGTGATATATATATATATATATATATATATATATATATATATATATATATATATATATATATATATATATATATATATATATATATATATATGAAAACTTCATATATTTTGTTTAAAGTGCGTCTTTAACGTGTAGTATCCAGGGTATTGTCAGCTACGAATGAGGAAGGCCGAGTTAAAGGGGAGAACTCCATCGAACATGTCACATATGAGGAAGATGCTATTGATGCTGACGACAATGATGAGAGACTTACTAAATCATCTAATGCTTCTGATAAAGCATTTGAGGTCTTAGTAAGTGACATATTTACCTCGTGTTTTGCTTGTGATTTGTAGTACTTTGTTCATTAAGGGTACAAAAGTTTTCTCAGGTTTCTGATCATGCTAGGAAAGTTATGCATGTTTATTTATACGAGTGGGTTGTGCATCATTTATCAAATACAGTATTTAGTATACTTTCTTTGATTGGTTTTCCTATTATGAGTTTAAAATCTGGCAGTGTAAATAAATACAACACATGCATGCTTCAATCTTTCCTTCCATCTCCTTCTTTGTTTTGACTTTGATAAATATGTATTTTATATTGTCTCAAGTTAGAATTTGAGTTTGAAACAATAAAAAAGAATAGAAGTTATATCTAGCTATCAATTAATAAATTTTATATTTTCTTTTATTGGAACTCTATCTATGGTCACGGTTTTAGGACCGTACATGTATTAACTTCAATCATTTCCTTCCATACCTGGCTAGCTCCGTTAATTTGGAAAAAAAATAAATGAGTGTTGCAATCAACACTCATTTTTTTCAATATATGTCTGAAAATTACATTAATTCAATGAAGAAAAACCAACCATAGTGCTTACTGAAATTTTTTTCTTTAAATTTGGTGTATCTTCTTTCAGCTTACTATGCAAGGGAAACAACATATTGAATCTTCTAGCAAAGTAAACAATATCAAGCATCGTGACGAAACACCGCCTGATGTTCGAGTACGGAAACTAAAGGATAAGCTCATCCAAACTAAAGTTTATCTTTCCCTTCAGGCAGTTAGGAACATTCCCCATCTCACTCGGGAACTTCGGCTACGGGTAAAGGAAGTTTCACGAACAATTGGAGAGGCAAGCAAAGATTCTGACTTGCCAAGGAAGTAAGTGAGTTTTTAAGAATATATTTTTTGTACTTGTCACCAGGTTTTCCTATTTTTATATAGCTATTACGTTAGTTATTTCATATTTAGCTTTATTGGGAAGTAGCATACAAATATGTCGAATAGTTCAGGTCTTCATGATCTACATTTTATTCAGTTTGAACTTATATTTGTAATTCTACTAATGCAGTGCAAATGAGAGAATGAAGGCAATAGAGCAATCATTGATGAAAGCAAGGAAAATTCAAGATGATTGTGCCACATCCGTGAAGAAGCTTAGGGCTATGCTCCACTCATCAGAGGACCAGCTTCGCGTGCACAAGAAACAGACCTTATTCTTAACACAGTTGACAGCTAAAACACTGCCTAAAGGTCTCCATTGTCTTCCGTTGCGCCTTACAACTGAATACTATAACTTGAACTCTTCTCAGCAACAATTCCCCAATCAAGAGAAGTTAGAAGACCCTGGACTATACCATTATGCAATATTCTCAGATAACATATTGGCCACAGTTGTTGTTGTGAATTCTACTGCTGCCCATGCTAAGGTAAGTTATTTTCACGTGGAGATTTCCTGAGTTGTTTTTATTCGCCAGGATTATGAAACTGAACACCAAATAAAATAATCTGTTATAGTATCTCTCTGCAGTTAAATTACTATTCTCTTAATGTTTTAACAAACTAATATGTTTTCATTTTATTTGTGCCTAGAGGTAGTGATGGCTAAAAAATGAAAACAAAAACCTTATCTGTTACAATATAATGGTGGTATTTTTCTTTCTGATCAGCATAATAATAATGTAGTTTTAATAAATTTTCAGGATTCCTCCAAACATGTTTTCCACATTGTAACTGATAGGCTCAATTATGCGGCAATGAGGATGTGGTTTTTGGCCGATCCACCTGGAAAGGCGGCAGTTCAAGTTCAAAACATTGAAGATTTTGCATGGTTGAACTCGAGTTAAAGTCCAGTTCTTAAGCAGCTAAGTTCTCCTTCAATGATAGATTATTACTTTAAGGCTCACCGTGCTTCTTCTGATTCGAACCTCAAGTTTCGGAATCCTAAGTATTTATCTATGTTGAACCATCTCCGCTTCTACTTGCCCGAAATATTTCCAAACCTCAAGAAAGTGCTGTTTTTGGATGACGATGTAATTGTGTAGAAGGATCTTACTGGTCTTTGGTCAATTAACTTGAAGGGAAATGTAAATGGTGCTGTCGAAACTTGTACAGAAAGTTTTCATCAGTTTGATCGTTACCTCGACTTCTCAAATCCTCTTATTGCAAAGAATTTCGACCCCCGTGCTTGTGGATGGGCATATGGTATGAAGGTTTTTGATCTGGTCGAATGGAAGAAACAAAACATCACAGAGGTGTACCATAACTGGCAGAAGCTGGTAAGCACACTTCAGTTTACTTTTCAATAACATCACAAAAATGAATGAAATGCATATACTGTAAACTTGTCTCATTTCTTTCCAAGCTAAACAAGGTGCCAAAATGCCCATCAATGTTGATTGATGATTATGTAGATCTTCACAAGTCAAAGGAAATGGATGCAACCAAGTCAAACAATGGTGAAAAACCGGGCAGCAGCGTTAACCGTAAAGGATATAAGACCGCAAATGAATTCATCTACATCAACTCATGCTCCATGTCATGGAAAGGTAACCATATATACCAATATTATTGATTTATATTTTTCTAATTATGTTATAGTATCAAAATGGTTGTTAATGTATGCAAAAATTTGCAAGTAGTGACAACACCTAGAATAAAGTAAGTGGTTGAAATTGTTTAAGTAGTGACAACACATGGAAGTGGCTGAAACTATTTTATTTGTGCGAGCTTTCATTGATATTTCACAAACATACTTGCCTGGGATAAGATTATGGGACCCCCTTGTTTGATAACACTCACTATGTATGCTGTAAATTTATCCATATGATACTGAACACCAAAGAAGATACAACAAGTAAGAGTGTTCATCAGAGTTCATTTACTCCAAAAAATAAACATAAAAGGATAGCTCAAGTTATACATACATGCATACATACAATTAAAGGCTATTGTAAGTCCTTAATAGTGACCCAAAAACAGAATGGTTTTATAATTGATTTATTTGCTAGTAAGCTCATGTCACCTATTACAGTTTAGAACGAAAATTCACATCCATTAAAAACCTTCATAATTAATTCACATCCATGAGATGTGAAGAATATAAACAATGTGTTTTGCTCATTGGTTTAGTTTTTATTTGTGCGAGGTTTAATTCTTGTTGATGTCTTAATTGTCCTTTGGACCAAAAATACTTATGGTTAATGTGTTTTATTTTATTTTCTTATGCAGCAATGTATCAATGAAGATGTTGAAAAGGACGATATAAATGATGAAATTCAAGAGGACAACATAAATGATAAAATTCAAGAGGACGACCTAAATGATAAAATTCAAGAGGACGATGTAGATGACGAATTTCAAGAGGACGACATAGATCTAGATGATGAATTTCAAGAAGAGGATATAGATGGTGAATTTCAAGAGGACGACGTAGATGAAGAATTTATGAAGGATGACATATCTAACGAATTTCAAGAGGACGATCTGGATGCTTTACTCCTAGAAGACAAACTTGAATGAGTTGGATGATGTCTTTTTTTTGGCTTGTAGTTGAAAGCATTAAACTTGAAATATGATTTTTGATCTTTTGCTGAACTATGTTTTTAGTTATTTTACTAGGGTCATACTTCAAAGTATTAAAAGTAATATTCTTACGTTAGGAATTTTGTGTACTATATATACTATATCTTGAATTAAAGTTTGAACTCGATTTTATTATATTACAACTTTTATGGATGTATGGTTTAAGTTATATAATCAATATTATTTTTGAAGCCAATTATTATTGACTATATTATTTTGATAATAATTGCAAAATTGTATATTTTATGTGGACACTATAAAACAACAACCTATAAGCTATGGCTACACTTCAAAAACGATCTTCCTGATTCAGGTTTAAGGCTACGATTGTTAATTGTAGCCGAATTTGGCAACACAACGCTTAAAAAACGTTGTCTCAGAGGCTGTAAATAATCGTCCCCTATTCCTTTACTATAGGCGACGTTTTTCAAAAGCGTTCCCAAAAAACATAAAAAAACGTTGCCTCAAACAATAGGAAACGCTCGCACAGGGGACGCCTAGAAAACGTCCCCTATTGTTTTAGGCAACGATTTTCAGAGTTCTGGCAACGTTTTTCAATTGTTGCTGGAGAGCCTAAATGTTGTAGTGCAATGAATCATCTGAATAGGAATTTTCCAATAAATCTTTCCATTCTGAAAGTTGATAACTATGAGAATTGGTGCAAGAAGATGAAAGTTGTGTTATATTGTCAAGATCTTTGGTAACTTGTGAAAGAAGGGTTAGAATCACATGAAGAAAACGCACCATAAGAAGAAGAGGTTGCACACGAAGAATTGAAGAAGAAGAATTATAAAGATCTCTTTATAATTCATTAATATCTGAGCCCAGAAAATTTCAAAAAGGTAAGTGATGTAGAATCTGCGAAAGAAGCTTCAGAAATTATGGAAAAGTCTTTTGGAGGTGTAGAAAATGTGAAACAAGCGAGGTTACAAACTCACAAAAGAACGTATGTATTGCTTCAGATGGAATAAAGTGAATGTATAACATATTTACTCACTAGGTTTATGAAACTAGTGAATCAAATCAAAGTATGTGGAGAAGCGCTGACTTCAAGATCAGTTGTTGGAAAGATCTTGAGGTCTTTGGCTACAAAGTTCGATCATATGGCAGTAGCCATAGAAAAGTCGAAAGATTTGTCAAAATTAACAAAAGAAGATCTTCAAGGGGCGCTTGAATCTCATGAATAATGAATGGATGAAAGAGTTGCAGGCGAGTCGAAGAGGTGATGTGGCTTTGCAGGTGCAGTCTGTAAGAGAAAAGAAAGGAAAAGGAAAGTTATTCAAGAATAAAGGTAGAGGAGTCTACAACAATTCGAATGGTAGAGGAGACCTACAGGAAACAATTGTGTCGAATCACAAATAACCTTTATACCAAGGCAACTAAAGAGGTGATGTTGAAGGTAGAGGAAGAGACGATGGTCAAAAACCTGACAAGAGTCACATTCAGTGTTTCAATTGTCAGAAGTATGGTAAATATTCTTGTGATTATCAAGAAAAATGAAAGAATCAAGAAAGGGATGCAAAATTTACAAAACAGGAAAAAGAAGAAGAGATGACCTTGACGTTCACAACTAGAGATGAAGAGAGATTCAAGGACCAATGGTACTTGGACTTGGGATTCTCATCACACATGTATGCAAGGAAAGATTGGTTTTTCAACATAAAGCCTAGAACATCGTGAAATTTGTAAATGACCATACTTTAGCAGCTGAAGGTATTGGTGATGTTCTTATTATTGAGAAATATGGCAAAAGGTCAGTAATTTCCAATGTGTTGTACATAGAAGGCATGGAAAGTAATTTAATCAATATATGACAGTTGGTTAAAAACATTATAAAGTGTCGATTGAGGACAAGATGATGAAAGTTGTCGACGCAAGATGAAGGTTAATCTTGAAGGCTCCTATGTCTTATAATATAACCTTCAAGGTTGAAATAAATGTGATGAATCACAAGTTCCTTTCGACTATAGCTAGAAGGGATGAGTGGATATGGCACTATCGACTTGGTCATCTAAACTGAACTTCAAAGACAACAGATATTTGAAAAGACGAAACATGGTTTCAGGACTGCCAAAAATCGACATTCCAAACAAGGTGTGCGAGGAATGTGTGCAGGAAAAGTAGTACAACTAGTGGTGTTCGCAGTGTGGTTTGGGCAGTTTTGACGCTAAAAGTCATCTGAACCGCAAGAGAAAAAATGTGCAGTTTGGTTTGGTTCGATTGGATTTTAGAAAAAAACCAAACCAATGCAGTTTGGTTCGGTTCAGTTGGTTCGGTTTATTACAAATATTTTATTGAGCCATACATACACATATAGGTGACAACATGAATTTATATTTAGCCATTTGTACACTACCAAATAACAACAAAACTCAACACATTTGAACAATAACTTTCCATTTAATTTGTAAAAATTAGATTAGACAAAAGTGGAATAATAAATATAAAATAATAGCATAAAAGTAAATCAAATATATTATAATGAAACAAAAATAATATAAGAGATGGGTGATTAGTGAATATGAAAAAGAAAGAACATAAGAGAGGAGAGATTAGAGAAAGAAGATGTGTGATGAAAACGAAATTGAAAGAGGAACATTTGCATAAAAATAAGAAGGTGAAAAAGAAAGTATATAAGAGAGTACAAATTAGAGAAGAAGAGACAAGATGTATGTGGCAAAGAAGGCGTGACAATGCTAGGAGAAATTTGAGAAGACTGAAACTGAAACCATAAATGTAAGGATGGGAAAATTGTTCGTAATCAAAATGCTAAGGTATAATAGGTTTAGGTTTTAGTTGGATGTGAGTTAAGTAAAATTTAGGTTGTAACACAATATGGTGTGATTCTGCTTGGTCCGTGTGGTTTTGTTAAAAGATGATCCAAACACTTCCGAACCAAATGTAACTTTTTAAAATTTTGATTTGGTTTGGTTTAGTTTGCTGATTTTTATTGGGTTGGTTCGGTGTCGAACACCCATAATCACAAGAATAGCTTCCACAAGGTTGTAGGAAGCAAGTCCAATGCTATTCTTGAAATCATATAGTCTAATGTATGTGGTTCTATCTAGGTGGATTCGCCTGGAGGTAAAAAATACTTTGTCACATTCATATATGATTTCAGTTCAAAAACTATGGACTTAACTGATCAAGAAGAAAATTAAAGTGATGGAGGTATTTGATAAGTTTAAGTCTATGGTCGAAAGACAAAGTGGTCGAAAGTTAAATATTTTAAGGACTGGTGGTGGTGGAGAATATGTGTCTAAAGACTTTGATATGTTATGTGAGAAGGAAGGGATTGTGCATGAGGTGGTTCCACCCTACACTCTAAAGCAAAATGGAAATGCAGAAAGGAAGAATCAAACCATCATGAATACAGTGAGAAGTATGTTGAAAGACACGCATTTACCTAAAGACTACTAGGGTGAAGCTGTGTCGACTGCAACATACATTTTGAACATATGTCCAATGAAGAAGCTAGAAGGAATTACGCCAGAAGAATGTTGGTCTGGTATGAAACCTAGCTTAATTTATCTGAAAGTATTTGGATCTATATCACATAGACATGTGCCAGATCAATTGAGAAGTAAACTAGATGAAAAATCGAGTGAAATGATCCTAATAGTATATCATTCGACTGAAGGATACAATTTGTTAGACCCAGTAAACAAGCAAGTAGTGATCAGAAGAGATGTGATCATATATGAGCTTAAGGAAAGAGATTTGACTGAAAATATAAACAAAGATTCAGTGAGAATCTTTTTTGAAGAATCAACCAAGGTGTCAAATGGGTATACAGGGTGAAGTTGAATCCCAAAGGGGAATTAACTCAACACAAGGCTAGACTTATGGCGAAAGAATTTCTTCAGATGGAAGGAATCGACTTCGACAAGGTTTTTGCACATGTTGCAAGGATCGAAACAATCAGGATGGTTACTCGTCTGGTAGAAATGAACAGTTGGAACATATTTCAGATGGACTTGAAATGTGCATTCTTGAATGAACCCTTAGACGAAGATGTTTATGTTTCATAATCAGTTGGGTTTATGAAACAAGGCAAAGAGAGAAAGGTGTACATGCTACATAAATCCTTGTATGGACTCAAACAAGCTCCAAGAGCTTGGAATAAGAAGATTTAAAATTTCATAAGAGAGAAGGAGTTTGTGAAGTGCACAACTGAGCACAGAGTATATGCAATAAGAAGAAATAGTGAATTGCTTATACTATGTCTCTATATTGACGACTTGTAGATAATAGGTAGCTGCAAGAAAGAGATCCAATACTTCAAAGGTGAGCTTAACAAGGAATTCAAAGTTTCAAATCAGAGAGACATTTGATATTTCCTTGGCTTTGAATTCTACAAGAGTGGTAGAAGATTTATGATTCATAAAAGAAGATATGCAAGCGAAATTCTCAAGAGATTTAAGATGGAATAATGCAATCGACTTTTACACCTGCTAAATCAAGACTGCAAACTTCAAAAGATTTAGATGAAGATGATGTTGACCAAACCCAATACAAAAGATTTAATGGGTCATTAAGATACCTTTGTCATACAAGGCTTGATCTAGCATACAATATAGGTATGGTTAGTATATTCATGCAAAAGCCAAATATATCACATCACTACTAAAAAAATGACATTTGAGAAAAGGTTTTTACATCAGGTATCAAAATATATGATGTAAAAAATACCATTAAAAACATTTTACATCAGGTATTTATTTGCAACGATATAAATAATAAGAAAAAAAATATTTTTCGCTATCTATTACATCGGGTAATGTCATCCACCGATGTAAAAGGTTTTTAGAAAAAAATACGGTGGCATTTTTGTAAATAAGAGACAAGGTGGCAGAATTGTAAATAAAAAACAAGCAAGATATTACATCGGGGTAACTAAAAACCGATGAAAAAGGTTCACAGGCAGATTGGTAATATATAAAATATATTAAAAACCTTACATCGGGGAATAATGAAAACCGATGTAAAAAAATTAGAGGTCCAAACACTTACATCGGGGCATACGTCCAACCGATGTAAAAAACCCCTTACATCGGGCCATCTATCAACCGATGTAAAAAAACCCTTACATCGGTTCGTTGTTTCCACCGATGTAAAAAGGTATATATATTATTCACATTATTTCCTAAATGCACATTATTTCCACTATACAACTTCTCTCACGCATACGCCGCCCCTGTTCACGCCTCACTGTTCACTTCTCCTCGCCGCCGTTTCACGCCCTTCATGTCTCCTTGCCACCGATTCACGCCCTTCACATCTCCTCACTGCCGATTCACACCCTTCACGACTCCTCTCCGCCGATGTTATAACTGTTTCTTACATCATTCTTATATTTTTATGCTATATGTTCAGGTTCGACTTGTTCAGAGTTTTTTCAATTTATGTTTGGTTCTGGTTTTTAGATTCCATGATTTAGAACTTGGTTTGAATTTGTTTCATGTTTTGGATTAAGTTTCAGTTTGAGTTCAGAATTGGTTCAACTCAGTTTATGTTGGGTTCATGTGTGGCTTGGAATTGCTTTCATTTTGGTTCAATCTTTGACTCTAACTTAAGTTACGGTGAGCATACAGTATCATGAAGTTGAATTGGAAGAGAATTTAACTGTAAAAATTTAGCAAATACATATTTTAGTCTTGCCCATAAGGTGTTTGATAGAATGCTTCAACCAATTGTCGCTTCTTTTCGCTTCAATTCTTTCACTTCATGATGTTGAATTGTTTTTGTTGTTGACGATTGTTGTTGTTGCAGGTTGTGGTTTATGAATCAGTATCGAATTATTGACGTTACCACCGTTATGCAACTTGTGCGCCAAGTGTTTGGTAAATTGCCTCAACCAAATTTCTTTCCTCTTTTCGCTTTTCTTTCATGTAAATTATAATGCTGGATTTTCTGTTATTGTTTGTTGACTTTGTTGTGATGAATTCTTGTAGGTGATAATTGTAATGAGTTCTTGAGGATGGTGATATGTTGGTGATGCTTGAAAATTGATTATGAAGAATCAATATGGTGAAACCATGAATATGACAATGATTGAAAATCGATGATGAAGAATCAAGATGGTGAAACCATGAATATAGCAATGAAGAAAAAATTGAATATTCAAGTAAGGCTTGCTATAACATAGTATTTTTATAAAATGAGTATTGTTTAGTTGTGCTAGTATGAAATGAACTCCTGTTTTTATAACAAAATCATTTTATTATAGGTACGCCTTGCCATGCCACCGTTTTTAAATTATATCCTACTATCGTTGAAGTTGGGGATAAAAGATTAACAATTGTTTTTGATATGTTGGCAACATTTATTGGTACAATAGACATATCATCTACAATGGACAGACTATTCATCGTCAAAGTTCTCATTCAGTTCAAAACATTGATTTAATGGAAAAATGTGTGATGAGTGTTATACTTGCGTTGACCCTACAACTTTCTAAGAGCATGTTCAAGTCTCTTTTTTTAAAGAGTATTGAATGGGAAGAATCTATAGCAGATGAAACTGCATCGGCAGGAAGCATGGATAGGGCCATATCTTTTTATTGCATGGTAAATAAGCTTGCTGAGAACCATCAGTAAGTCACTCCCTAATTTCACTATATTCATTAGATAATATTTGTAATAAGAGCTTTATGGGGTTATGAAAGTTAAAGGACACTTTGTCCAGATATATATCTCTAGATTTGTTTTGGTAAGTTTTACATTATTGGCAGAAGATTTTATAAAGTAGTGTATTCAAGTGAACTACATAATCATGTCAACTATTGTTACAGTTGTGTTATGAGGTAGATGCAATTTGTTTATAGTATTATTTTGAAAATTTTGACATGAGAATATAATAAGTTATGACTTGTTTTTTATTTGAAATAATTATCAAATGACATCATTTTGTTATTTCTCGGTCATTGTTTGTTCTTTACTTCAAATACCTACTTGGTAGTTGTGTTCATCATCTTGGCGACGGTGGAGACTCTAATGTGTCTAGTCTGGGTCCTAGATCCACCTACATCGCTAGATGACAACAACTTGAGTATACCTAGCGTGAAGGAATGTCACAGCTGATTCTGATCTTTTATGGAAACCTCTGAACCACGAGGTGTCGTTAGTTATTTCTATTTCGGGTGTACTCACAATTGATGTTGTGCTAGGTATATAATAACAATAATAATATACCAGAATAAAGTATCTCATAAAATTCATCTAAGTTGAAAAATGCATGGATTTTTTAATGACATTTTCTGGTATATTAAGTAAAACAACCATTTAAAGTTATCCACATTCTCTGGAAGCTGAATATTTCGGTTTTTTGGCAGGTTTTGATGCAGACACTTAGAGAGAAGACACAAACTAGAATATTGGTCTTGGAATTATTAAAAATTAATAATATTTAGTATTATTAATGGAAACAATCCCCTTCTTCGGTGAACTGCGGATGTGGAGCTTTCAATTAAATCTCTTGCTCAAGAAATTTTACATGAAATGAAGTCTATGGGTGGGGAGAGCCTTTGACAATACTTATGATCTTAGATTAGGAAGGTAGTTTTCATGATATTGTAATGTGATGAGTGTGAGCTACAAATGTGTAATCGAATATAGAAAAATCGTATTATATTGTATTTCAATGTACATTATGTCCATTTTAAAGGAAGGTGCCATTTTTTTATACTTATAAAAGTAAAGTTCAATTACTTAGAAGAATAAATAATAATATCAAGAAAAAGTACTATTATAAAAAAATAATAAAATGTAAGATGATAAAATAATTAAATTTAAAAAAATCATATTAAATAAAAGAATATTGTAAATCATATTACGACAATTATTAACTGTTTCTTACATCATTCTTATATTATAACCGATGTAAAAAAAGGACTTTTTACATCGGTTATTACTTCCAACCGATGTAAAAAATTGCATCAATTTTTTTAAAATAACGTTATAACTGTTTCTTACATCATTCTTATATTATAACCGATGTAAAAAAGGGACTTTTTACATCGGACCCAGAACCGATGTAAAAAGTACCTGATTTACTACATCGCCTGACTTTACATCGGACCCAGAACCGATGTAAAAAGTCAGTTTCACCCGATGTAAAAAGTCATTTCTGCACTAGTGCATCTAGCAGCGACAAAGAGGATACTAAGGTATCTCAAAGGAACTCTCGACTATGGCATTTTATTTCCTGCAGTCGATAGAGGAAAAGAATGCAAGTTAGTGGGATACACCAACTCATGTTGGTGTAGTGATGCGGAGGATGGAAAATCCACAATTAGTTATGTGTTTATGCTAGGTGGTGCACTAGTTGCTTGGAGTTCGAGAAAAGAACAAGTAGTGACATTATTGTCATGTGAAGCAGAGTACATATTTGCTTCTCTTTGTGCATGTCAAGCAACATAGATGATGAATTTGGTCGAAGAGATAACATTGAAACAATATGGAGGAGTCACCATGAAAATCGAAAACATGTCAACTTTCAATCTGGCGAAGAATCCGATAACACGTGGTCAAAACAAGGACATCAAAATGAGGATGAGCAGGTACCATAGGGGAGGATGAACTTGGAACACTGCAGAATTGAGAATCAAATTGCAGACAACAATGACAAAGGGAGTGAAAGTCAAAGTGTTCTAAAGACTAAGAGCTATGATGAATTATGTGGTGTGTTGAGATTGTAATCCTATGTGTCTAGCAGCATGTTGCTTGACGAAAACAAAGGCGTGTTGAGATAGTCTAAAGTGTGTGTCGAGTTGTATTAGATGTTGAAGTGTCAAAGCATGTTGTTTCACATATGATTTCGACTTAGACCAAAATAGGTATTTTGGACTTTTGTGTTTTTGAATTTGACTTAGGGAGAAAGCTAACCTAAAACTATAAATAGAGGGACTAACCCTTATTTTGTATCATAGAGTATTCACAGAATTTACAGTCGTAATGGAATAAGATTTTCCACAGTTTGTGGGCAGAGAGAAACTCTGCAGAAATCATCATCTTCTCTTATTTTTTGTTCATTAAAATTGATAGAAACTCTCTATAGACTTTAGTTAATTTCCAACAATTATTTCACAAAATTATTAAAAATATAAATCTCCCTAGCGTTTATTAAAGTTGAGCCTAATATTTCCCGCTTTTTATCCAAGGTTTATAGTGTCATTTTAGTCTGTTAGAACAAGCGCTAAATAATGTCGATTGAATGCTAATGTTAACATCAAGCTTAGAGGAATTTTCCCAACACTGATGTTAAAACAATGCTAATATCCCCTATGGCATCCATTTTATTCCTGTAAGCGTTCACTTTTGGACGAAGTCTTGGAATATTTTTCATTTAGTGAGTGTTGTTATCTTAAAGGTTTTTGTTAATATTTTTTGAGCTTTTTTTTCTTTTGTTGTGGCTTTGTTTAACCTTTTCTTGACATATCTTGCGTCGGGGTTGGACTGTGTGAGATTTTTTCTACATTATTGGTTGTAATTTTACTTTATATATATATATATATATATATATATATATATATATATATATATATATATATATATATATATATATATATATATATATATATATATATATATATAAAGTTAATTGTATAAGCATTCAATTGCAAAGTTGTCTGTTTAAACATACGACATTCCACTTATTTGAATATAAAAAGCATCTAATTGAAAAAAACAATGACGAATATACAATATTGTACTAATTAACTTTTAAAAGGTGATTGAACTATGCTGACACTCTTAAAGATTTTAATTAATAAAAATATACATAGCATAATACATAAATTATACTACCAAGTAATATAAAAATTAGAAAACATTAAAGTGAAGATAAAAACGTAATTTATATAAATTTTTTAATCAAGAAATTTTAATTTTAAAATTAACTAACTCACAATCAATAAATTTCTCACATTCTAATGAATTAAATATGAGTTTTAAAATCATATGTTTCATTGAAAAATAATGCATCCTAATCACTACACAACCACTATATAATACAAAAAAAAAAATACACAAGCAGTTTACTCTTTATTTATTAAATATGATTAATAGCTTACAATTTATGTGAAAATAAATATTATATATCGTATAAGAAAAAACAGACTCTAAATCTGTACCACGTATATATTTCTAAAATTTTGTAATATTTAATTATTTTATAGATAAGTTATAAATTATAATGTAAACTATAACAACTTAATAAATTTTATCATTTATTAATAAAAAATTATAAATATATATATATATATATATATATATATATATATATATATATATATATATATATATATATATATATATATATATATATATATATATATATATATATATATATATATATATATATCTAATAACTTATATTTATGAATCTATAAACAATTATTTTATCTCAACAAAGACACTACATATATTAAAAAAATTAAAATGACCTTTTAATTTATTATGTTTTTTGGGATTAAAATTTGATTTTTTTTAGCTTAAATGTTATTTCTAATATTTTGCTTTTAATGATTGATTTTTGTCTTTATATTTCTTCTATTTGATTTAAGGTGAAAACCTTAAAATATTTATAGTATAATCTTAAATTTGAACTGACTATTATAAATATGTTTTATTTTCTCTATAAAATAATGTGAGTTTGTTTATATATATTTAAAAAATAAAATTTTCTATTTAAATCATTTCCATCTCAAGCATACCAACACAAAACTAAAAACCAAGAGTTGTAACTAAATTTTTTTGTAACATTATAAACAAAAACTTTAAAATTT